TAAAATTTTAGATTTGTAATCTAACAATATTCGCATATATTTTGAGTTTGACTATACCTTTTAAATTAATGTAGGTCAAACAGTTCTCCATATACAGTCTTGGATGGAAAGTCTCTATTAAAGTTGATAAAAAACAATTGGGAAAATTAATTGTGCGAGAGCTTTTGAGGCAACGACAACATCGGTATGATAATGTGTTTGTGGCATTTTATATGAAGAATTTCACTATGTTTCATTTGCTAATAGTTATTGTAATCTTTTTATAGAAATCCTATCATATCTGATAGAGCAAGTATATGCAGCAAAGACAATATGGACATATATGTGGTAAAAGATCAAGTTTTATGAACTTTACTACTATGCTCCATATATTCATATTTGTGAATTTACAAATTAATTTTAGATTTTATAAATTTGTCAAACAATCAACTTACATGACTGTGAGATATTTTTCCTCAGTTTTACAGGCAACGAATGATACAAAAATTGAAAGCTTACAAATATATGTGCAACATTGTTACAAGGTAATCTACTTATAGGTTTGTATGTATAACTAAAGTTACGTACTTCATTTTCGGTAAATTCCATCTTATTTTTTGTAGTTTAATGTTGTCATAGATCTATGGCAAAAATTGCATCAAAACAATTTGAAGAGATCATTGAACGTGACATTTGATATGAACAATGTCAATCTATGTCGATATGTAAGTTTTTAATTTTTAGATTTTGTTTACAAAAAATTAACACAATAATTACCTTTTGTGTCTTTATACATAATAAGCCAATTATAAAACCAAACTTATGCATAATTATGCCTCATAACGTAAAATATAATTTTAATCAATGTATACTATTAGCAATCTTATGATAAATATATCTTATATATTTTTCTTTCTTTTTTTTTGCAGGATTTGCAGGATCTCCGGTCTCATGTTATCAAATTTAGATTTTATATGAATTTTTATTGTATAGTTTTTTTAGTTAAGATTAGTAAATATTATATTTTTTTAAAGATTTGTACATATACTTCATTTATCAAATACATTAATATCAACTGTTACATTGTACATAATTACTAATCATATGATTTATATGTATATTATTAATAAAAATAATATAAAAATAATATTATAATTCAAAAAGCGATTGCACATCGCATGTGCCCGTGTGTATATATATATACACATTGGTTGCATGTGCCAAAGTTAGATGTATTTAATATTTAAAATGTATAGATCAAATTTATTAAACCAAATTAAATTGTTATTCACATCATATATATATATTTTTTTGGGGGGTTACAAATTATTTTGAATAAATTATAAATACAACCCTTAAGGTTTGCTTAAAATATGAATTGTTCTTTATGATTCTAAAAATTACATCATGTCCCTTAAAGTTTATAATTTTATAATAAATGAGCGTTTTTATTAATAAATTATCAAGTCAATTAATAATTTTTAATGATGTCAAAAATTTATTTCAATTAATAACTCAAGTAATTTTATTATTATATAATAAAGCAGTTAAAAATTAATTTTTTTTAGTTAATTCAGCTAAATAAAGATATTATGACAATAAGCATTTATAATTTTTCAAACTATATAAGATATCTATATTTTAAGAAAATATTAGGGATGTATTTGTAATTTATTCTATTATTTTTTATTGAAGAAAATTAGGGATGATTCAAAATAGTGTCCTATTCCCCAAATTAAAACAAGTGGAAGTAGGATTTTCAGACACGTTTATTTTTATTTTTATTTTTGAATGAATTACATTAACGGTCTCTATAGTTTGTAACTTGTGTTATTTTGATCACTAATTTTTCAATCGTGACACATTTAATCCTGAATTTTGCATCTTATTTGAAATAAGAATAATTGAAGATACCATTGCTTAATTTTAAAGGCAAAATAGTCAATTTAATAAAATATAAACTAATTTGACAAAAATAAATGTCAATTTTTTTTTTGAATTTTGAAAATTATTTTTACCCACTAAAGATAAAATTATGTAAAATTGTTAAATTTTTTAGACATTTATTTATTTATTTATTTTACCAAATTAGTTTTTATTATGTGTTTGGATGATGATCACGTAATGGGTAGTTATTTTTATTTTTATTAAATTAGTTTCTATTTTTACAAAAGTCAAATATGGCGACAACTTTAATATCATTATTAAACCAATCCATTAAATTAAAAAATCTAAAACTCAAAACATTTCATATATTAAATATATTAATTACATATTAAAATCTTAACAACCACCTATTACATAATCATCATCCAAACACATAATAAAAATTAATTTGATAAAATAAATAAATAAATAAATGTTTAAAAAATTTATCAATTTTACATAATTTTATCTTTTGTGGGTCAAAATAATTTTTAAAAATTAAAAATATTTTTTTAACATTTATTTTTGTCAAATTAGTTTATATTTTATCAAATTGACAATTTACAGTTGAAATTAAGCAATAATATCTTTAATTATTTTTATTTGAAACAATATTTAAAAATTAAGATTGTATGTATCACAATTAAAAAATCAAATTAAAATAGTACGAGTCACAAACTATAGAATGTGAGATGTTGTTACGCACTCAGCGCAACAGCAACTATTGTATGGCGAAATGAGCCCATGTTAGGACTACTATGTGCAGTATTAACTGTTGTGCGGCGAAATAATCCTATGTTAGAACTTTTATTAAGAGGTGAGAGAGTAGCAACTGTTGTGCGATAAAATGACTCATGTTAGGGCTTTTATTAAGAGGTGAAAGAGCATTGTTGGTGATGGGTAATTATGATTGGGAAATTGAGGGTTGTGAAAATGGAGGGTTTTGGGGGAAAAAGATAGAGATAGGAAATCCGATCTGTATTTTGGAGATTTTTGTTTGTTTGTTTGTTTGTTTTTTATTCTAATAATCTTTGGGGGAAAAGTTTCGGATCACATTCATAGCAGTTTACATGTGTGTTGTAACTAAAAAAAAGTAAATGGCAATATACCAATAATCTCCATAGTTTGGGGAATGGGGATGTTTGCAAAGCAGTAATTGTTATGCGGCGAAATAGGTCCATTTTAGAGTTTATTTTGATAATTTAAATTGTTTATATTTTAGAATATATCAAGTAAAATATGTCTGTAAAAAATCAAATTAATCAGATATCGTTTATCCATTTATCCGCTCACATTTGTAATCATTTTAATATTTTAAATCACAATTATTATTTATTTTTATAGATCCAAATATGAGTGGATGAATGGGTAAATGATATCCGATTAATTTAATTTTTTGCAGGCATGCTTTACTTGATTTATTCTAAAATGTGAACAGTTCAGAATATTAAAACGAGTTCCGAAATGAGCCTATTTCGCGCACAACAGTTACTACTGCGTGGGGTGCGCAACATCCCCATTCCCCAAACCATAGGGCCCCGTTTGTTTAAAGAGTTAAAGAGGGATTGAGATTGGTAGTGGGGTGGGACCTACTAACATTATGTTTGTTTTTAGAGATGGGGAGGGGATTGATAGTAAACTCTGGATTCGGATGGGCCTCCCCAAGCAGATTCAGATGGGCCTCCAAGACTTGATATTAGAAAAATAGTCTGCCGGACTAGAAATTTTTATTTATTTATTTATTTATTTATTTTTTACGTGTTGGGAATTTTTTTTAACACTAATGTATAATTTTTTTTTTTGTTAAGTAAAAATCATTATTTTTTTTGTTTTGTTTTTTCTAGAATTTTTTTATTTTTTTATATATTTTTTAAAAATTTTTATATGTTAGACATTTTTTTTAAAACATTAATATTTAATGTTTTTGTATTTTTTTATTATTTTATATTTATTTGATATAAAAATAATTTAACAATCCCTACACTAACAACTATCATCAAAACAAATACAATTTTACTTAATTCTCTTACTAACAATCCCCTCACTATTAATCTCCTCCATTCTACTTCTGAAAAAAATGAGCTTACGGATTATTGGTATAGTTCGCCATTTATTATTTTTTTTAGTTACAAGACACATGTAAACTGATATAAATGTGTTCTGAAACTTTTCATTAAGCCCATGGGGCGTGTTTGTTTTGAAGGATTAGGCGGTGTGATTGGACTATTAATCCCACCGGACTAATACTCCATTGTTTGTTTCATTTTTTTTGCTCCGGACTAATAATCCCCCGGACTATTAATCCCACAAATATAGGACTATCCTATCCCATGGAGGAGGATGGGATAGAAACCATGGGATTAGTATCCCAGGAGATTATTTTATGAAATGTCCATTTTACCCTCCATGCTATTACATATTAAAAAATGATAAAATAGTTTTTTAAACATTTATAAGTTATTTTTTTAGTGTTGTTAATTTAAAATTATATATTAAATAAAAAATTAATTATAAATTATAAATTAAATTTAATTAAAAATAATAAATTATAAATTATGACCTTATAAATTAAATTTTTTTAGTGTTGTTCAAAAATTAAATTTACATATTAAATTAAATTATTAATTATGGCCTTATAAATTAAATTTTTTTATTTTTGTTGAAAATTTAATTTATATATTAAATAAAATTATTTTTTATTATCGTTAATTTAAAATTATATATTAAATAAAAAATATAACTTATAAATTTAATTTAATTGAAAATAATAAATTAAAATAATTAAAATATTGTGTAAAAAATAAAATAAAACAAATTTTTATTTAATCTAGTTAAATAATTAAAATATTAAAGGTATGTTTAATATTATTATTACTTAATAAATAATTGAAAAGAATAAAATAATCATTTGAACATTTATCATTTTCCATAATATCCCAAACAAACATTAGATAACTAAAAATAGTTCAATTCAGACATCTAATTCACGACTAAACAAACATAGACTACAAATTTAGTCCAATTAAATAGTCTCAAGACAATATATCACAGGACTAATAATCCCATAGATTACAATTTCTCTTATCCAGTCCGTCCAAACAAACGCAGCTATAAATTATTAGAATCAAAAACAAATAAACAGACAAAAATCTCCAAAATACGGATCAGATTTCCTATCTCTATCTATCTCCTTCCCCCCAAACCCTCCATTTTCACAACCCTCAATTTCCCAATCATAATTACCCATCACCAACAATGCTTTCTCACCTCTTAATAAAAGCCCTAACCCTAGTTTGAAATTTTCATTTCAACAATTCCAAATGGACCCAACCACCACCACCAACACCAACCACCGCGGCACAGAAAATGAAACCCCACCACCACCACCACCACCACCACCACTAGCAGCCACCACCGCTCAACCCAACACCAAGTCCTTATCCTTCACCAACGGAAAACTGAAGAAGCATTCAAACCATCCCCACCACCACCACCACCCTCCGCAACCGCCTGCGGCGGTGATTTATAAAGAATGTCTCAAGAACCACGCCGCCACTTTGGGCGGCTACGCCGTGGACGGTTGCGGAGAGTTCATGCCCTCCCCCACCGACCCCACCTCGCTAAAATGCGCCGCATGTGGTTGCCACCGCAACTTCCACCGCCGTGGAGACGAACCCACAACCACCACACCAACCCACTTCCTAGACTTCCACCACCGTCCTCCGCCGCCACTATCCGTTCGCCGGAGCTCGCCCTCCTCCTCCTCACCCTCTCCGCCGCCGCCGCCATCTTACTATTCAGCAGCACCCCACATGTTGCTGGCCCTCAGCGCCGCCGACCACCACCACCCGGAGGCGGCGGTAAAGCCCACGGCGGAGGAGAACCCAAGTGGGAGAAAGAGGAATAGGACGAAATTCAGCCAGGATCAGAAGGAGAAGATGCTTTCATTTTCGGAAAAGTTGGGTTGGAAGATGATGAAGAGTGATCAAGGGTTGATTGAAAGTTTCTGCAATGAAATTGGGGTTGGTAGAGGTGTTTTGAAGGTTTGGATGCACAATAACAAGAACACTTTTGGGAAAAAAGACACCACCACCACCACAATCAACAACGTTAGTGAGAATATTAATGATGGTAGAGTAAAGTCTGAGAACAACAATGGTGATCATCATCATCATCAAAGTGAGAACAACAATGGAGTTCATCATCATCATCAAAGTGAGAACAACAATGGAGTTCATCATCTTCATGTTTCTTCTGCTAATGGGTGTCCTCCTTCAGCTCAGCTTCAGCTTGATCCAAAGATAGAGTGTAGGTTTTAGAGACAGAGACTGCTTTTTTTTTTTTTTTATGGTTAGATTATTGTAAAATTAAATCAAGTGTTTAATGGTGTAGAAGAAGAAATTGCAGAACAATAATGCATTTAGTCCTTTAAAAGTTCACTACTTTCATCAAGGTTTTATTTATCTGCTGAGAAAAAAAGAAAAAAAGAAATCTATTTATCTGTTAATTATCTTCTTCTTCTCTCTTGTTTAATTAATTAATTTATTTTGGTGGCATTTTGGAAATTATACACTACTACTGTTGATTTTGCATAGTATTCTCTGGATGGATAGTTTGGTTTGGTTGTCCAAAACTTGGACCTTGTCAGCTTTTAGGTACAACTGGTTAACATCACCTGCAATTCAGCCTTCTTTCATTTATCAAACATTTACTTTTTACAGTGACTGCGTGTTTATTTATCAACATGTTATTTATTGATTTATTTAAATTATATTACTTATTTATATATTTTTTCACTATAATAAATTAAAAAGTTAATCTATGAATCTTATAAAAAAATAACCTTAAATATGTCTTTATTTAGTTTTAGCCACAATAATAATAATAATTATAGTAGGGCGAAAAGGATTTATACCAAAGATTACCCACATGGGCTCGTGTAGACCCGAATCTTGAGCCTTGCTAACTAAACCCAGGTGGGTTTGCATTCTTCAGCCAAAAAAAAAAAAAATATTTTGAATTTTTTAAAATAGAATTTGTGTAAATTTTTTTTTTTTTTTGTGAATTTTTCTATTCCCTCCAGTGTAATAAAATCTAAAATTTAAAATAAATATTATGAAGTTTACTAAAAACAAAAACAAAAATAAAATAAAAAAGTTTACATTTTTTTGTTTCTTTTTCTTTCTTTGGTGTTTTAGAAGACTTTCTTTTTAATACTTAATCTGTCTAGTCGAATAAAATTTAAAAATATAATTTTTTAAAAAGTATTAGTAATAAAAATAAAAATAAAACAGTTATTAAAAAAAGTGAATCCCAAACATCTGGTGTGAGCTGCCACCAACTCGGCTATATAATCCCTTGACGGTATGTACACTATCAAATCTTGTATATGGTACGATAGGATAGTGAGTGAGAATATTAATTAGTGTTATTATTAATGATGTGATAGTGAGTTTTATCATGAATGATTTGATGTTTTGATTTTTGTGTTATATTTTTTTTTTTTATTGAGTATCATATCATTAATGATCTTTTTAAAATTTTAAAATTAATGATCTCTATCATTGTTATGGTAGCATAATATCGTGTTAAATATTATAGTACTTATCATAAGAAATTTATTCAGTACTCTCAAATTACCACAACAGTGTCATATGGACATGGGCGTACATGATATTCTACTAATAACATTACAAGACAAAACAAAAGATTGATGTTGGAGCTAAATGAGTTCAGCTCTACTAGCCTATAACTAGAACTATTATTAGTCTAAAAAATATGTGTCAAAGTTGTTGAATTGGTTCTACAACAACACAACTAGGAGTTGGTACTTTGATATTTTTAGCATTCGTTTGGCATGTTAAAAATTTGATTTTTAATTATTTTAATTAAAAAAAATAAAAAAATTATTAAGATAAAATATTGCATACAAATTATAATTATTTTATTTTTTTTTCACAAAATTCAAAAAATTTATCTCATACGAAACTTTTTAATCCGAAACTAACATAGTCAAAAAGTCAACTTACATCCGAAACGAATCCTTAATAAAAAGCCCCATAACCTAAAAACTTAATCAAAAAATGAATATATGATTTAAATCTAATTATTGTATAATAGAACCTCATATATGAAATGAATCTTAGGCTTCGTTTGGCAACATTATTTTTTAGTTAAAAAACTAAAAAGTCACAAAAAAAATCAAAAAGTCAACAACCTATACTAAAAAGTCAAAAATTCTCTTTTCTCTCTACTTTTCGCACATCTTTTCTTAAAAAATTAAAAAATCATCCCAAACATACTAATTTTTTTTTTCATCATATTTTAGCCAAAACAATCAAAAAATTATTAAAAAAGCCTGTTCTCAAACAAGGTCTTAATCACCGTCTAAATAAATTTTTGGAGTATTATTTATTTTTTCTTTTTTTAAACTAAAGGGGTTGGTACTTTGGTAGTCCTATGAATTGATTGAAGCAAACCAAAGAAGAATAACCTAAGAAATCATAGTTTCATTACATTAGGCACTCCCGTATTCTAATATGCACCCTTAGATGAAGGAGAATTCTCTCCTTAAAAAGATCTTTTTGATTTTGTTGGTTTCTGGTGGGTCAGGCCATTGGGGACTGACTATCTTGGTCTTCAAAATGGGGATAGAATGGTATAACAAATAGTAAGTATCAATTATGAAAAAACAAAAAGGAACCAATGCAATTTTTATATGATTTCATGTAATCTGAGATTTTAAGGCAAGGATGTGTTGTCTTGTCTTACCAACAATAAAAGAAAAATGCTTGGGAGCACTAATTAGTGCTCCCACTAATTAGGTGGCAGTGGGTCCCGTCATTAATGATGTGATGTTTTGGTCTTAGAGTTGTATTTTTTTTTTTTTTTTACTTTTTTAATGTATTAGTGCTATTAGTGGTGATGTTTTTAGTGGGATGAATCATTGTTGACAATAAAATAACATTAAGGTGTGACCGCATCGCCAACTTTCCTTATTTGGTTGGTTGGAGAAAGGCAGCCATGCCTTTCTTTCTCTTTTGTTAATATTGGTTAGATTTGTTTAATTTAAAAAATATGAGTAATTAGTCAGTATTTTTTTGACATGTTTGATTGGAAGGATTAAAGTATGGGATTAAGATTATTAATCCGTAGGCCCAATCATCCTATGTTTGTTTTGACATTTTGGTTTAGGATTATTAATCCAATGGATAATTAATCCAACAAATTTGTAGGATTATTAGTAATGGGGTAGGGATGAGATAGTTAATACCACACTAATTTGATGGGATTATTAATACTTCACTATTAGTGTTGTGAATCAAACATGGCATTAAAGTATTAATTTAGCACTGATCTGCTTCTAAACTAATAACAACACTAATAATGGGATGAGTGAAACTGACTTGATCTATCTTGATAAGTTGGATAAGAGATAAGATCGGTCTTGATAAACATCTTATGTACAGTATAATTAATCAATAATATTATATCTATATGACATGATAGGATTATCGTAAAATACATAGATAGAAAGGGCACTTAATTTATTGAATGGGTTGTATTCAAAGAATGGCTTCATCAATTATTATTTTTTTCTAAATGATTGAAATCATCCAAAGGTATTCTTCTTAAATCATATTCTTTTGCTTTTAGAACGTGGGGTAAATGTAATCTTATAGATGGCCAACAGTTGACATTTTTGAGCTCACTTATTCTTTCAAGTGGGTAGAGCTCGGATAAACACCTCTCCAGTCTCTCTATCCCAAGAACCTTTTTACATTAGATCTCTCTTATCTGATCGGATAGTGAAAAGAAAAAGGACAATTGAATTTTCATAGCAGAAATGAACCTTAAAAGGGGCAAAAAAGAAAAGAAATAAAGATAATGTAATGTAATTTATGGGGTGAGTGTATATTACATTCTGAGAGTATAAATCATTTGTCTCATTCTCTATCTCATCAAGTCTCATATCTCTCACATATCATCATGTCATTAAAATCAATGATTAAAAAAATATAGAACAACAGACAATGGTATCTGTTACAGAAAGTGAGACAGATGATCCATATTGTCCACTTCGGCCAGAGTCCAAATGGGGATGACCTAATCTTATATTTTTCCCAGATAGCTACTTCTGGTGTTGGTAATGGCAGTGACCTCTTAGGTTGAGGGAGCCTAGGAGGCTGGTGAGGTACCAAATTTAGGTGCAGTCATATTGACCTTACTTTATTACTAAAATTGAGGATCTAATTCTATGGTCCCATTATTTGCGAAGTAATATCTTGACAAATAAAAACTGAAATAACTTTTACATTTTCCTTTTTTATGTGCAGTTAAATAAAATAATAATAGCTTGACAAACACTTATTTATTCTCTTCTCATTTTTTGAACCTGACAAAATTTTATACAAAATATTCTCTACTAAAATGATGTGGTGGTAGCTTTTCTATAATTAAAAAACATCTCAGTAAGTTTTTTGTTTTACAATGAAAGGTCAAAAAGACTCGCCAGCCACAGTATTTTTTATATATTTTCTGTTTGTATAGCATTACTCTTTTTCTCGTTGTGACAATCTCATATCTGCAAAAATCAGAGTCAAAACTTCATATTAGCCTCACCTGATAAAGGGTTACAGAAGCAGCTGATGCAAGCATCAATATAGAAACCAACATCAATTTTCAAATGCTTAAGATGGGATTGGAAGTAATTCAGACAATTATATATGATGATACATTGATACTTGAATACCAAAAACACACACACACACATACTTCTATAATATCACAACACATCTGCACATAGTCCAGGATGGATTTTTTTTTCACCTAAAATCGCAACAACCCAATTGCAAGAGCTTTCAAGGTGAGGGGAAGGCGTGACCAGGCGGAGCAGATGCCTCCATGAATAAAAACCTCATTTTCTTCTTCATCCTCTATTGTCTTGAGTAGTGGGGTGAATGGATCTGTCCAAACAAGCACTATAACTCCTTTTTGCTTCTTGGGGAGTGGGATCCTGGATTGTCGCTGTTGCTGTTGCAGCTGCTGCTGCTGCAACAAGAAAAACATTTCGACCCAAGGGAAAAGATTAAATCACTCGGACTCACAAATTCAACCTTGAAACGTCAATTGAATCATTTGTAGCAGTTTTTTTCATCTCTTCACGGCAAAATTCACAAGCATCGTCATTTTGAGGTTTCAAACTCAAGCAGTGATCGATTCTCTTTTCAAACCAACCCAATCTCCGCTCAAAGCTCAACACACCAGCATGCATAACCCTAATGTCAACTTGGGCTACACGTGCACAAGAACGAAGCAAAATGTAGTAATCAGCATGGGCAGCATAAGTGTAGGCACCTTCATCCTTCTTCCTCACATAGTAGAGGTAATCTAATCTCTTAACATTGACCCTTGGTGGAATGTAACAGAACCTATTCTCCTCCATGTTTGACTTCATTTGTCTAATGGCTCTATCTTTGCGAGTCTCTAAGGAAGTTTGAGCACCGGGTAATGAATCACTCTCACTTGGAGAGCAATCATCAATACTCATGCTCTGTTGTGTACAATCATCAGCATGAGAGGTTTCAACATCAGTGGATGGACTGCCGGTAGACCTGTTCTCTCTTTTCCTTTTGCTTTCCTCTACCGAGCTCATCACATCATCTCTAGATCTCTTCTGGTGCAAACCACCATTAGATCCCACTTCAGGGTGATTCGATGGTCCAGAATGCTGAAATCAACATAAACATAATAGATTTTAATTGGTCCAGCAACGACAGCGTACACAATACCCATCATACCCACAAACCCAAGAATTGACCTCAGACCACAATTCAGGTAAGGAGTGACAGGTAGTGAGAAACCAAAATAAACACCATATCCCTCATGGTTTCTTTTGATGAAAAAGAATCAATATATTTTAAAGCAGATACGGCTTTTAGTTCCAAACAGAAAAAAGAAGCGAAAATGAAAATTTATGTGCATTAAAATGCTTGTTTCTAATGATGATGATAAATAATCATTTAAACGTCTCAAACCCATTAATCAACCGTAAGGACAGTCCGTGCTTATGTTTAAAATTAAACCAAGAGAATCACTCTTGAACCTTTCCAAATTTTACTTTCCTGTGTTGAGATAATTTAAGTGGCAAAAAGTGTGGTACAAAATACTTGGGCAGTAGAGGCCTGGATGTTGTTCAAAGAAAAAAAAAATCTGAGGATAAAAATTCAGTAAACAAAAGAACTAAAAGATCCAAGCACAAATTTCATCTGAAGGTATATATCGTAAAAAGAGGAAATTAGAAAAGAACAGAGAAAAAAGACGGGAAAAGTAAAAAGGTCAAAACTGCATTTATCACCTTTTTAGCCTCATAAAAGTCCCATAACTCCTCAATTAACTTCTCTTCCTCAATATCCTCAAATGATGGTCCTAATCCGGCAAAAACCACATCCTTACAATATTGTAGATAGGTTGGCAAATCCTTTGAATACTCTGTCAAAGAGTAATATAAATTAGCAAGTAGGTATTTTCAAGAAATAAAATTAAAAATTCAATATATTTTGACATTTTTTAAAGCTAGAACTATAAACCTTAATTTGTACCATATTTCTCTTCGACAACCACTTTCTGAACTTCAAGGTTACGCAAAAGCTCCACAGCATCCAACTCAGATTTCTCATGTGAGGAGTTTTTGAAAGGGTCTGTACCCGTACCATCCAAACCAGGGGACGGTGAACCCTGGTTAGCATCAACTCTTACATCAGCGTCACATGTGTGTTCCCCCTGACTATTCCCATTAGAAGTTCCGGTGGAACTAGACAAACTCATTTCCCAAAACCCGAAACCATTTATGTTATATAGCATCCTTATTGCTACAATCACCATTGACATTACACAAACACGAGTAGGAAGTCTCAACTCATTTGCTGATAGCCACAACTCAGGAGGCAAAGACCACTCGTATATCTGGCAAACAGATGGTAGAATTTTCCCCACAGGAAGTGATAACTGCGTTAGATAGAGTGAAGCTATAGCATAGAAATTGACTGGAGGTAATTCCAAGCCTATTGTTTGAGCAATAGATGCTGACAGTGATTCCAACTTGTATGATGGAACAGTTTCCGAAGGTTTGAACATAAGACTTGAACTAAATGGACATGCATTTGATGGAGGCCCAATTTGTTTCTCAATTTCGACAAAAGCAGCAAAATAAGGAAGCTTCCCTTCAAGTGCCCATTTCAAAATATCTGTTGGCAGTACGGCCTCCCTCGCGAGATGACACACCAAAAAAGATATTGCCAAAGAATGAGATAAGGGTATCGCCTTGCTTAGCAATTTATACCAAATCATTACTGCTCGCTGGCCATGAATATTGTGAGGCTCTGCACTGTATTTAGCACGAGGCTTAAAATCATCTGGCTGCCCTGAATTTTTTTTTTGAGAATTAAAAGGTTAAAAAATGATCCATTTAATCTTGAAAAATTAAAATAGTAGCAGTACATAATAAGGAAGAGAAGCTAGCTAATCAAACCTACTAAAACAGTCAATAGATGGAGAATGTCAAATGAAAAATCCGAAAGAATAAAGGTTTCCACCAGAAAACTTGGGACAGCATATGATATGCATAAATGTACTCAAGACTAAGTACAGCAAACTCATATAAATAAAGTACAAAAGTGATGTGAGATGAATAAACTAGTACCAAAAGAGAACTAATGAACCACAACCGCACACTAATTTTTACTTGAATAGGAAATATCACAATAAATTCAGTAGATATTTGAATTTAGCCATATTGAAGTTTACTGAATTATACATACGAAGGAAGAAAATTCATTTTGTAGGTGTTGTTGATATAGGACTAAGGAAGGAAGCACTTTCATAAATATTTCAAATTATGTTTCGAATTTATCCACATTGAAGTTTACTGCTTTATATGGGGAAATGCAGGTTAGTTTACTGAATTGTATAGATGAAGGAAGAAAATGCATTTGAAGGTGATGTTGATGTAGGCCAAGGAAGGAAGCACTATCATAAGCATTTCAGAATATGTTTCGAATTTATCCACATCAAGTTTACTGATTTATATGAGGAATGCAGGTTGAGCTTACTTTGATACAAGTGTCAGCTATCATTCAAAAACGCAACACCAATGAGTAAAAAGTTCCAATAATTTTTACATTCAATTATGTTGCACTGTGACACCATTCCATCCTATAAATTGGCGCAAACCTGTTACGCTTCAACATTCAACTACTTTTGATATAAGCATCAACTACCATTCAGAAATCCAAAACCAACAAGTAATATATTCCAATAATTTTCAAATATACTTCACAATACCCATTAAAGCTAATGTTTGATAAGCATAAGTGCAAAAAATTGTTATCTCACACCATCATATAAATTGGTGCAAACCCACATAAGGGTTGTGTTTTGAATTCAATAATTGGACACAATGTCATCTATAAATTGGTGCAAAGCTAAGAAAGGGCTATGTTTCAATATTCAACTATGTGAATATCAACGTAAATAAAAAACAGAGCTTCACAGACATTATATCAAACACATGCTATACATTATTATATCATCAATTCATCATATACCTTCTTTCTGCGATTCTGATTCATGAATAGCCTCATCAGCCCAATTATCATCAAACACTCTAGTAAACGCCACGAATCGCAACCAAATCGTCCCAGCCAACCCATATATAACCGGGTTGACCCGAAAATTCTCAACCAAAGCCTTGCACTGCATCTGAATCATAATCTGAAAACCCATCACATACCTCAACCTAATCTCCGAATAGTAATCATCGTAACTCACAGACCTCGAACCCGACCCAAAATCGCTCGGGCTGGTCGGACCCACCCCATATCCGACCCGACCCTCCTCTTTCTTCGCATCGTTTTCTAGGGCATTGAGAGATTCCCAGAATTGGGATTGGGGTTGGGACTGAGAGATCGGTTCGGCTTTCACTGCGACGGGGGTTTGGCGGCGGTGGCTGGCCAAGTAGATACCGCCGGAGGCCCCGGCGCCGGCGCCGGGATCGACAAAGTCTTCGTCGGCCACGGCGGTGTCGACAATGTCTTCGGCTTGGGAGCCGCAGCGGAGGCAGTAGAAGAAGCCGTCTGATCCGTCGGCGAAGCCGAGGTTGCCACAGGCGTGGCACGTTAGGTTCACTCGATCGTCCATTGAAGGCTTGGATTGAGTTTGAATTAGTGGGTTTTGATTGTTCTTCGAGTTGAGCTCGATTTTGAAGCTTCACAATTTGGCGGCTAATCAGTGATATTCAACCAACCAATTAGGTAAGATTCATTCATATACAAGTCTGTTCATTTTTTCACTATGAAAAAAGTGTAGGGGGTGAAATAAATATTTTACAGCAATGATAGAGACCCTCTGTGGACGACTCCCACAATCCCTTATGTGATCCATGTCATTCATGATGTGAATCTTACATATAGATGAGTAGGCTCCACACATCATGAATAGTGTAGATCAATAAGGGGGTTGTGGGGGTCCTTCACAAAGGGAGTCTGACTCATTTTTTAATATTTTAAAGAGTCGTGCTAGGGAGCTCGAATCTAAACTCTCCCGAATGTTCTTCGCATCGTTTTCTAGGGCATTGAGAGATTCCCAGAATTGGGATTGGGGTTGGGACTGAGAGATCGGTTCGGCTTTCACTGCGACGGGGGTTTGGCGGCGGTGGCTGGCCAAGTAGATACCGCCGGAGGCCCCGGCGCCGGCGCCGGGATCGACAAAGTCTTCGTCGGCCACGGCGGTGTCGACAATGTCTTCGGCTTGGGAGCCGCAGCGGAGGCAGTAGAAGAAGCCGTCTGATCCGTCGGCGAAGCCGAGGTTGCCACAGGCGTGGCACGTTAGGTTCACTCGATCGTCCATTGAAGGCTTGGATTGAGTTTGAATTAGTGGGTTTTGATTGTTCTTCGAGTTGAGCTCGATTTTGAAGCTTCACAATTTGGCGGCTAATCAGTGATATTCAACCAAACAATTAGGTAAGATTCATTCATATACAAGTCTGTTCATTTTTTCACTATGAAAAAAGTGTTGAAATAAATATTTTAAAATATAGGGTAAATTATAAAACGCTCTTATAAAATTGATTAAAATATGAATTACTTTTTATAATTTTGAAAATTGTAAATTATATCCTATCTATTAAGATTTCAAATTTCATAACAAATTATCTATTTTATTAATAAAATATAAAATCAATTAATAATTTTAATAATGTTATAAATATATTTTAATTAATAATTTATGAAACTTTATTATTGTATAGTTACTATTTTTTATAAAAAATTAATATGATTATATTAATTGATTTAATTTTTAATAAATATTTTTATTTTTCAGAAGATTAACTGTTCGAATTATCTAATTAATTTCATAAAAAGCCCACCTAAGCATGGTCCAATTGGATTTGCTCCTTGTGATAATCTTGTCCCATATGCAAAAACGGTACAGTTTTGCATTTGGATCGTAGTCCAAAGGGCTGCCTTTAACGCCCATATTTGTGATGCAGGCCCAATACTTGGCGCGTGGAAGCGAGGACTGTAAATTGATGTGATATTCAATATTGGAGTAAAGGAGTAGTATGTTTTAGGGCCAGCTATAGGGTTATTCGAACCGTTCAATCCGAATCGATGTACATATAAATAGGTAGTTTTATAGACACAATATGGACAGATGTGATTTGGAATATGGCATGATTGCCGGTTACATGTTTAACCCGTAACTGCAAGAACCCACCAGCACTTAGACACTTTTTTTAAAAAACAAAAAAAAAAAAACTGGACCATTGTTATTTTATTATTACATTTTTTATGAATATAAAGTTAATGAAGAATTATTTTTAGGTAAGTTTAAGATTTTGAATGATTTTACATTAATTGTATTGTTGGGCAGTAGATAGTGAATGAGATTGATAATCTAGTTTAGGATTTTGAATGATTTGTTTGTATTAGGAAATGATTTTGTTGTGTTTTTAATTTTATAAGTTTTAATTTATTAATTATTAATGTTGGAGCATTTTAGAAAATGAGGGAAAAAAAGCTCAAAATAAATATTTACAAAATAGAAAAAAAAAAAACTCCAAAATAAATTTTTAAAGAAAAAAGTCCAATCTGCAAACCGCTCGCAACTGCCCACACATCCGCGAACCCTATCCGCACAAACCGCAAACCGCATTATGGGCTGTTGCGGGTTGATTTTTCTCCAAACCACATAGATGCGGGCGGGTCCAAACCGAACCGCAAACCGTCCCAAACCGAACCGCGGACACCCCTAATACATACACATAACAGAACCATGTTTTAAAATCAGGCAGGTGAGTGAACCGGAAAAATGATCGGGTGGACGGGTCACCGGTTCAACCGTCGGGTTGAACCGGAATCGAACCGTGACGTAATAAATATATTAAAATTATATTTAAATAAAAATATAAGTAATAAAATTATAAATTAAAAATATTAAAAATATTAAATTATTTTAAATATTTCTCCTAATATTTTTTTTACTGAAAAATATAATAATATTTTTAAAAATATTATTAATTTTAATTTTCGAAGAGGAAATCAAAAATTTAATATTCCCTTCATATGATTTTAATTCAAATAATTTGATTGAAAGAAGAAAAAAAAATTTGGAGGGATATCAAAATTTAAAGTCTCCCTCCAATACATTTGATTGAATAACACATGGATTTCTTGAGTTTTTATGGAATAATTGTTTTCTTATAAATAGGTAGAGACTTTCACAATAATTTCAAGTTCTCAAGAGGACACCCTTAAAAGGGAGTTTTCAATTAATTTTTTTTTATATTATTATTATATATATAATAAGAAAGAAAGAATAAAAAAAATCAAAATTTCCAATTTCAACTGCCCAGCGAATCGGCTTCGGGTCGACCGGTTTGCTAGTTCAACATTTGATTTTCTCGGTCCTCTTTAAATAGGCTGGTTTTTAGCTTCGAACGATTTAGAGGGTATATCTAGACAGGAACCCCGACCTGTCAATGGTTCAACCGATCGAACCGACCGATCCAATTTTCAAAACTATGGTCCAGACTTAGTTGTCGAAAATGAAATGCAGAAAAAAAAACTGCTCAGATATCAGGTTGGCCGATTAATAAAAATTGGAAAACTTATTGATAAATCTCATCCATAAAGTTTAAAATCCATTTAATTCCAAAATAAAATACTTGTACAAATTAGTTTTATATATTTTTAATTGTTACCAAAAAATTATTTTTTATTTTCTTAAATTTAAAAATGCTCCTACATCCCACCATCGTTGGACTTCCGTTAAGCGGTCATCGGAGACTCGCCGGAATATTCAACATCATTGGGAAGTCGTTGAAATATCATTGGAAATTCGCTGGAGTATCACCAGAATGTTCTGAACGTCACCAAAAGTCGTCGGAATGTCTAGAATGTGTGATGGATATCAAGAATATTGCCAGAGACTCACCGAATATTTAGGATATTGCTGGAAAAAAAATAAACTAAGAAATTAAAGTGAAAAAACATAGTAAAATATGCTAAATATTGATAAACTGAAAGAAGAAAAAAAAATCTAAGAACAACAAACAACAACAATAAAAAAAAAAACATATGTTATTTTTAATTTTTGTAGGGTTTAAGCAAATAATTTCTAATATTTATCAAACTGAAAAGTAAGGTTTGAGACTATAAAATATTATAGTTTCAAAGTATGTTTTTATTAAGTATTTATCCTTATTAATCAAATTGGAAAACATGTTATGAAATTGTAAAATTTTACAGTTCTAAAGAAAGTTATGAAATTGCAAAATTTTAAAGTTCTAAAGAATGATTCATTTCAGCGCGCGCGCACACACACACAAAACTGAAGCTGTAAAATTTTACAGTTTCACCGCCTGTAATTAAAACTCAAAAATAACTTGTTTAGAATTTGAAAATTTTCTGCATTATAACAGGAAAATAGAAGTGTGTAGTATAGAAAAAATATTAAAACTGAGAGATCGAAAGAAAGAGACATATATAAAAAGATGCGTATATTCCGACACCTATTTTTTGGTTTAAATCTAGCCGGATCTAACGTAGATCTACTTATCTTTTTCGTCGAAAACTCATCTCTTTCGTCGTCGGTAAGCACGAAGTAGGCAGTTGGTACTTGGTGGTTGCCCGTGAACCCTAATCAATAGTGGTCGATAGTCGCCGGTGACTGTAGATTAGAAAGAGAAAGAAAAAAAAGAAGGCGTCGTTGTGGTTGTGGTTGTGGTTGTTGTTGTGGTCGTGGTCGTGGTCGTAGTCGTCTTCAACATCAGGGAAAAAGAGATACAAAGAAGAAATAAAGTGTAAGGAAAGAGTAGAAGATAAATGGGTATAGGACTTTTAAGTTTATCTAAAAGGTTTTGGAATTAAATAGAATACACACTTTTCAAAAAAAAACTTGTGGGTAATTTGTCCATAAAAATTTGACTATAAGGTCTTGTGGGGAAGTGGTTTGGAAATACTCCTTGGATCCAAGGGGATGCTCGTGATCCTCAGCTCGTAACATGAAAAAGAATTAACACTCCGATCGGGGCTGCCGGGATTAGCACTCCGACGGATAAGTCAGTATATACCCTCTAGATTGCTTGTATCTTAAGTTAAGCATACTTGTTCTCACATAACTCTTTTGTTCGCCGTTCTTCTATTTATATACGCTCCTGGTCCTCTAGGCAGGGCCCACTCTCGACCTGTCATGTGATTGTTCACTCGCCTCCCCCCCCCCCATTATGCCGTATTCCAACTTTCAATCGACCCCTTGCTCAACTCATCTGTGGCCGGTCACTTTATTTAGCATCTAAAACGTCAGAGACGGGGCCGAGTACATACTATATACCGATTGGGAAGATATATACTTGGCCTATTTGCATCTGCTTTTATTCGGCTACCACAATTCCCCCCCGAACACCCCACTAACACTGTTTAGTTGGCGTGTTCGGTTTCGAGCTTGAAAAGTCAAAAATTCAGCAATTAACCTCATTCCAAAGCGTGTCAGAACGCACACGTTTTTTAGTCATCATTACAAGTTCCCGCCTCCTCGTACGCTTCCTCCATTTAATGTGGTTTAAAACTTTGTCTCTTTGAATGTATACTTTAAATACTTAAGATTTTTGGCTCGCCTTCTAGTACAACTCCTCCACCTCGCGACCTCTGCAACTTTCTTCTATCTCTCAATATCCTTTCCGCTCCTGTAAGTTCTCTTCTCTTTCACTCCCAATACCATTTTCTTATTTACTATTAGTTTTGCATAATCCTTAGGCTGGCTAAAATGACAAAAAATTTGAAAGAACTCCTTTCTGCGGATCGAATTTCTGGCTTCAGAC